GCCCCGTGAGTTTGTATCCCAGATCACTCAACAAGATCTAAATATGCAAATCACGTGACCTGCCGGTCAAGACGCGACCCGACTGTCCGTAGCCTGGTCTAATTATCGAAACAACGTTAGAATCTGCCTACCTGCTTGTCTAAGTTCATGCCCCTCCCTCATTCCATTCATCGATCGTGCTGGTACCCCAAAATGTTATTTCCGTATCCAGGAAGACCGGTATCCGTATACCAAAATCGGCCAAAATTCTGCCAAAATTCTTCCTACGGAAGACTAAACAACATAAATAAAATAAAATAAATAAAATAATATACCTAAATAAACAACAAACCATCGAAACGACGAAGTAGGCAAAATAAGCAAGCTGCTTCAGCAAATGAGCAGTTGAGCAGTGCGCTTCAAAACCCTTTGTCATCTGCCCACACACTGTGGCTCTGTGCCTCTGTGCCGAGGTTGTTCCGGGCCCGCCTTAAGCCCCTCCTTCGTGCCTTCACCCACTCCGCGGATGCTCTCATGGCTGCCATTAGCGAATAGAGTGCCTGCATCGGCACAGCTTTGGTCAAATTGACCAAAGCATCGAGAGCGAGAGAGGGAGAGAGAGAGAGAGAGAGAGAGAGAGAGAGAGAGAGAGAGAGAGAGAGAGAGAGAGAGAGAGAGAGAGAGAGAGAGACCGTAGGGAACAGATGATTGGACCATCGGAACCGGCTAGAACGTGCGCGTGCGCGCAAGAGAGAGAGAGAGAGAGAGAGAGAGAGAGAGAGAGAGAGAGAGAGGAAGTCACGATGGGATGAAAGTCGGGATGGGGAGGGAAGTTGGGAAAGGGAGGGAAGTCAGGATGGCGAGGGGGAGGGAAGTTGAAATCGAAGGAGGGAAATCGAGATAAGCCCCTTTCGTGATAGGATAGGCTTGTGATTGATTACATGCTTTTTCTTTCCGTTCTTTTTTTTTTTGGAGGAAACAACTTTGAAGTCTTTGATTGCAAGCCATTGATTGACCGAGAGCATGCGAGAGAGAGAACCAGAGAGAGAGAGAGAGAGAGAGAGAGAGAGAGAGAGAGAGAGAGAGAGAGAGAGAGAGAGAGAGAGAGACC